ATAGCATTGATTAACAAAATTGAGACCCGTGGAATCTTAGGTAAAGTTGCCATAGTCCTACACTCTCACTAGAAACAGACAACTGGAGCTGGGTTTAACCTGAGGGTCACCACACCTCAAGCAAAAGCAAGGTGAGACCTTCAGGGTAATGTCCACCTGTGCAAGGATTTAAACTATGCTGTTGGTTGCACTGTATAACACAAACTAGCCAACTGAGCTAACCAAATCCCACATGGAATTAGAGGGTCAGTGACCAACTGGTTAAAAAAAAGGCCTTAAAGACAGAAAACAGGGAGAAATGGCTATTTTACAGACCAGAGGATGGCAGACAGTTGCGTTCCTCAATGGTCAGTATGAGGACTGTTGCTATTTGTTTTGGTGTATGTAAATGATCCTTCAATTTTGAAATACACAGAGAATTTCATAAGATGGTGATGAGACCAAACACGGAGGAGTGGCGAACAGCGTGGATGATACAAATCCATTTGCACCATGAGGGATTCTCTTTCTCACCCTCCTCCCCCGACCTGAGGCATGGTGACCTTCAGGTTAAATCATTACCAGTTATCTCTTTCTAATGAGAGAGCAGCCCTCTGTTCTGGTAAGAGTACAGACACTTTAAGTGTGGAGCGGTTAGCTCAGTTATATGGAAGACTGGTTTGTAATCCAGTGTAATGGCAGCAGCATGGGGTCAATTCCTACATTGACTGAGATCAAGCTCTCCCCTCACTTGAGCTGTAGTGACCTTCAGGTTAAACCACTACCAGCTTTCTCTCTTGAATGAGGGAGGATCACTGTGGTCTAATCAGATAATGACAAGCGGCAGCAGAATTGACGAAAAGTGTCAGATTATTCATTACTAAACACAGATGAAATACTAACATTACACGTGTACTGACAGGCCGGAAAGAAAAGAGGAGTCCACATGTTAAAGAAGATAAAACGGACCGGTCTCTGAATTGTTTGTGAGGAGTGGATAGTTGAATGTTACGGCTGTTATACTGATATTATCACTAGTGATGACATTGGTAGTTGAACAGTTGATTTCAAGATTCTTGAATTTGTAAGTTGATTGAAACTCTTTTTTTCCCTGATTCCTTTTGGCAGTGGCTCACTGTCAGAATGAGAGAGAACTTTTTCACTTTGCTTTACCTGCAGTACTGGGCTGTGTAATTAGCTGTCCTGAGAGCTGTGACCCTCACAGCACCCTTATCTGCACACAAGAACATCAGGTCATTAATGTACAGGAACTAGGACTTGTCTACTCCTTCAAGGTGTTGGGGGGAAGCAAATGTGTCTCTCAGCTGTCTTTTTTTTATTAGCATCGTGTTCACATTCTGAGATATTCCCAAGGATTACAAGGACAGTTTGTCATGCATTTTCTCCCTTTAAAGCTTCTGTAGCATCTTGTTAGGTGTGATGTCTAGAGTTTCTCTCTCTCTGTCTCTCTAGACTGCCACTGAATTCACCTCTGTAGTCAACATGTATTTCCTTATTTTAAAAGGCTCATAATAATTGACGTTTGATATGTCCACGGGTAATCAGAGTTATGATTCAGAGTCATAACAAAGAGGACCACTCATAGAATTCCTCCAAGCAGAAAGAAGCAATTTGGCCCATTGAGTTCACACTGACCCTCCAGAAATTACCCCGCCCAGATCCAACCCCCATCCTATCACTGTAACCCCACGGTTACCGTGGCTAATCTATCGAGCCTGCATAAACCTGGACACTACAGGACAATTTACCAGAGCCAATCCACCTAACTTGCACATCTTTGGACTATGGGAGGAAACCAGAGCAAGCCCACACAGACATGGGGAGAACACACAGACTCTACACAGACAGTTGTTTGAACCTGGATCCCTGGAGCTGTGAAGCAGCAGTGCTAACCACTGAGCCAGCATGCTACCCTCTTGATACCTTGTCATGTTTGCCACCTTTACCAGGATGTAGCTTGTACAGGTTGTTTGACATACCTCACTATCACCAATTCCCCTTTGTCTCTGCTTTGTCTTGGGCCTATCTAGTGATTAGCAGTCAAGGATACATCACTGCAGAATATTTGCACAAAAGGTTGTGTTTTTAGATAATATAAAGATTTATTGCATGAAAGCAATAGGTCCAACTGCAGTCCCTCAGGCATCATTACTTGGACGTTGGGGAGCAGTAAAGATACATCTACTCCTTCCAAAAGCTCGAGTCGACTTCCTTGTCTCCACCCACAGACTGTGTGTGGTATTAGTTGAATAGGTGGAGCTGGTATAATATGAACATTAACCCCTGCAGAACTATTAACTCACACAACAGGAATGGGATCCTGATTAGGGGCAGGTGTATTAGCATGTCTTGAACTTTGAATTTGGCAGGAGTTATTGAGAGAGTAGTTAGCAAAGTGAAATCTTGGGCTTCCTAAAAAGAGGCAGTGATTGTAAAACCAGAGGAGTCATGCTGAACCTTTACAAATCTCCACTGAGGCCTCATATCGGGAATATTACATTTAGATTTGGTCATCATAAGGTAATGTTATAGACATCCTTGACAGGATGCAGAAAAGCTATAGTTGTTCCAGAGTTAGAGGATTTTAGTTACAAGGTTTGGTTGAAAGAGTGCGTTTGTTCTCCTCGGAGCAAAGGCAGAAATTGAGCGGAGATTTGATAAAGGTATAAAAGTTTATGGCAGGTTTGTTAAGGTCAACACGGAAGAAAACTGTTCCCAATAGCTGTTAGTTGGACAACGGGGCATAGATTGAAGGTTATGAGCAATAGCCGTAGAGAGAACGTGCAGAGGAACTTTACTATGCAATGCGTAGCAATGACCTGGAGCCATCAATGATTTAATCAAAGAATCCCAACAGTGTGGAAGCAGGTCATTCAGCCAATTGTGTCCACACCGACCCTCTGAAGGGCATCCCACACAGACTCACCACCCCTACCCTATCCCTGTAATCCTGCAACTCCCATAGCTAATCCGCCTAACCTACATGTCCCTGGACACAATGGGCAATTTAGCATGGGCAATCCACCTGCACATCTTTTGACTGTCGAAGGAAACCAGAGCACCCAGAGGAACCCTACACACCCTACACGGGGAGAACGTGCAAACTTCATGTGGATAGTCATCTGAGGATGGAATTGAACATAGATCCCTGACACTGTGGGGCAGCAGTGCTAACCGTTGAGCCGCAATGCCACCCACTTAAATACAAATGAAGAGGGCACTTGAAGGAATTAAATGTGCAGGACAATGAGGAGCAATGAAAATATTGAGCAGGAAAGTGAGACTGATTAGGTTTCACCATGGAAAGCAGGCATGGACTTGTCAGGCTGAATGACTTCTTTCTGTATCATGAACTATAAATAACTGAGGACAGCTAGATAAAGGGATGAAGGCATTGCAGGTATTGAGAAGATTCCGGAGATAAAGATATGTCAGGGGATTTAAACATAATTGAGGAAGTTTTAGGTGTTTGGGAACCAGATAGTGAAGATCAGCATGTACAGTGACGATATTCAGGTGGCTTGGGGACATTGGACAGTTCAGTTTAGTGCTGAAAATGCATGGCTGAGGTTTTGGTGAGTGACTGTGGAGGAGAAAGTTAAAAGCCTTTATTATTGAGACCCTGGATGGTGTAAAAACAGAAGTGCTGGATAATCCAATCAGCAGGTCTGGCAGCATCTATGCAGAGAGAGAAAAACAGTTAACATTCCAAGTCCAGTACAAACTTTTCATTGATTCTCTCTTTCTCTCATTCTGGTGGATGAAGTAGAATGTGGATAAAGGTGAGGTTATCCAATTTGGTAGTAAAAACAAGAAGGCAGGTTATGATCTAAACAGCGATAGATTGAGAAAGGGTACTACAATGGAAACTGGGTATTCTTGTACACCAGTTGCTGAAAATAACCATGTAAGCACAGGAGGTGGTGAAGAAGGCAGATGGTGTGTTGACCCACATTGAGAGACGATTGGAGTACTGGAGCAGGGATGTCTTGCTGCAATTGTACAGGGCCTTGGTGAGACCACACCTGGAGTACTGTGTGTTGTTTTGTTCTCTTCATCCGAGGAAGGCTGAGGTAGGCTGTTCTGCTAGGGAAGGACTGCAATTAGATTGATTCCTGAAATGACAGGACTGAAGCATTGAGAGAGACTGGATCAGTTAGGACTTTATTCACTGGAGTTTTAAAAAAATGAGAGGGGTTTTCAAAGAAACTGATAAAATTCTAACAGGATTAGACAAGGTAAATGCAGGAAGGACATTCCTGACGCCTAGGGAGTCGAGAAACAGGGGTCACAGTCTAAGGATACATGGTATATCATTTAGGACTGAGATGAGGAGAAATTTCTTCATCCATGATGAGCATGTGCAATTCTCTCCAACATAAAATGCTTGAGTCCAAAGGATTGAACGCTTTCTAGAAAGTGTCAGAAAGCTCTTACGGCTGAAGGGATCAAACAGTATGGAGAGAAAGTGGGAATGGGGTACTGAGTTGGATGATCATACTGAAAGGCGCATCAAGTTTCAACGGCCAAATGGCCTACTCCTGCTCTGATTTGCTATGTTACTACTCCAGAGATGCTGCCAAACCTGCTGAGCTTTTCCTGCAATTTGTGTTTTCATTTCAGATCTCCAGCTTGCATATTGCTTTTGCTTTATGCAGAGTTAGAAGCTCATCGTTGGGTTTTACGAAGGACAGGTTACAAACAGCTTGGTTTTACCTGAACCAGGGGCCGGGGACAGAAAGGAGTTGGTGACACAGGTAGTTAGTTAAATTCATCTGCCTATTGATAGTTAGATAGACACACCAAAGTAAAATCCCTGACATCTGCTACATCCAAAACCAGCAGTGTGATTGCAGTTTATGGAAATAATAATTCTGAATGTTCTATCTTAATTCATATCTATGGATAATATGGAGGAAATGCTGTTACAAATTTTGGTTTAGAGTAATTTTCAGCATTTACAATGAGGAGTGATGCTCGTCTCACCGGAACGTTTGTCGGTGGCGCTGGCGGAGGTCGGTACAATTCGCTGCTGCACCAAGGGACCGGAAGTGCGGCTCCAGGACGACGCGAGCATGGCGGACGTCCCAAGCAACGCGCCATCACGTGAGTGCGGGGTCAGGAGCGGAGCGGGATTCCCGGGAGTTAAATTATTGAAGTTTACAGAGAACACCGACAAGTGGGGAGAGGAGACCGGAAACAGGACCTACACCAATCACCTTCCCCACTGGCCACAGAGTGAGGGTCAGTCACTGACCCCGGGGGACGGTCAGAGGGTGGGGGTCAGTCACTGACCCCGGGGGACGGTGAGAGGGTGG